TGTTGGGCTCCAAAGACTCCAAAGGGTCCCCAGGAACAAAGTGACTCTTCCATTAATTTCAAAAGGCAGCAACGCTAGCTTAGATCTGTTAAACATTAGGGGGGAAAAAGCGTCCAGCAAAACCAAATGAGGCAGATGTGGGACACTGAGCAAGGCATGATTATGAATGAAGAGAGAGAGACAGAGTCAGAGAGAGAGAAAAGGGCCTGGAGCATCTGAGAACTTTGGCCGCAGGCTGGCTGGCCCTGTCCAGCTCACTCCGGCTCCATCCTGCCTCCTGCCCAGGAAGGCCTGCCCTGGCCAGGCTCCCTCCCTGACTACCCGCTTCTCCACACTCACCCCAGCTCTGCCACCCCCAAGGCCAACCCAGACCTGGGGGAGAGAAGGTGGCGAGGACAACGAGAGCGAAGACCCAGGACCAGGACAGGGTAGCATGCGGCTCCCACAGAGAAGGTACTGCCTGCTGTGCCTGGAGCAGGAAGTGATGAGGTAGTTCAGGGCAAAGTCTGCCAAGAAAGCCCAGGAAAGGAGGTGTTCTCACCTGCACACACCCAGACCTGCCCGCCTGGGTCTGCCAGGGCCGCTGTGCACAGAAGGAGGTGATCTTCATGCCACTCAGTGCCCCACTGGCAGGTCCACAGAAAAGCTGGGGACCCCAGGCAGGCCTGGCCGTGGACACAGCCCTGGGCTCAGCACGGGGCACTCAGCTCAGCATGTGACTGGCCACTGTTGCTGGGTTCCAAAGAGCCCCAGGCCGGGTCAGTCAATATAGTGGAGGGGTGAGGCAGCAGTGGGCCTGCTCTGAGGCTGTCCTGGAGCCTGCCAGGGCCCTGTGGTCTGCAGCCCCAGCTCAGGCTGGGGCACCCTGCATTGGGCTTGGGGGCCATTGTCAGCGATGAATATAGGCTGAGGCTAGAGGTTTCTAAGGCATCAGGAGTTCCTCCATGGCACCGGAAGGGCGCAGCCACTGCAGCTGGACCTGCTCAGACCCAGGGAGACCTCAGGGAGCAGGTCCACTTTCCTTTGCTCCCATCCTCAGCAGGCTGGGCCAGGCTGGCCTCACCCCACCCCAGCAGGCACTTCCAGGCCAAACCAGAGGGCAGAGCTCAGGACAGAGGACACACTGTGAGTGTGGCCAGAGCCTGGACACGGGGACACACCGTGAGTGTGGCCAGAGTCTAGTCATGTTTTCATTAAGGACACTGAAGCCCAGAGAACACAAGCTACTTCTGAGGTCACTCAGCTTAGTGGAACCAGGCCTGGCTGGTGGCCAAGGCTGCCCTGGGGGAAGGGTCTTCTTCAGCTCTGCTGGTTGGTGCTTCGTGCAGAGGACTGATGTACAGAGGTGCAGACCCGGGACAGGGCCGGGTGCTCGGGGCACAGGCATCACGCCCGACTGCACCCCGCCTCTCAGTGCCCACAGATGCCCAGCTTCCTCTGGTTCAGAGGGCAAGGCTTGTGCTGCCCCAGCCGCATCCTAGGAGCCTAGGTGGTGGCTGCCTCCCCCAGGCTGCCATTCCTTCCGTAGTGGCCGCAGGTCCTGACCCTCCCTCCTCCGTTCACACCCCACTCCCCAGTGGGGCCCAGACAGGCCCTCTGCCGAATACTTGTCCCCAGATCTGTCACAGCAAAGGTGTCTGGCTGAGCCCACCAAGGGTCCCTCAGAGGGGAAAGGGTGAGTCACCTATCGGGCTCTTGGAGACAAGCCGGCACCAGCCCCTACCCCTCTGCCATGGGAAGGCCAGCCCCTGCTTCTTGGAGTTCTGGACAGTCCTGGCACCTCACCCAGGGTGGGGAGTCTCATGGTGATGGGGGGCTGTTAGCAGCATTTTCTTTTTCAGGGCCCTACCACAGCCCCCAGCCCTCCTTGGGAAGGGTGGCGCTCTGGCAGGGGTACCCTGCCCACCCCCGGAAGAGGGAGGGAATCTTAATTGGGTGAGGAAAGACTTGAGCTGTCTCTATTTTCATTTAAACAACCTGCCTTGTAACAAAACAAGTCGGGAAGGAAAGACTGATCCATGGAGAGTTGAGCAGCTCTGGGCCACAGCTCAAGTGTGCCCCCTGGAGGCCTCCCCAGGACGACCCAGGCAAGCAGGCAGGCCTAGCCAGCCTGAGGGAGGGCATCCTGCATGTTGTGGGAGAAGGGGTGACAGTGTGAGATGTGCTGTGACAGATCATCCAGGCAGGGCTATTGGGTGAGATGGCTGACTGCAGAAGGGGCTCTGAGGCTGGCCGGGAACGTGGGGTCTAGATGGCCTCCCCCGCCAGGCAGGTCACCAGAATGAGCTCATCGAGACAGTGGCAGCTGTGAAGAGCCCGCCTGGGGGGTGGCTGAGAGATAAATGCCACTCCCCTTCTGTCTCAGTCAGCTTGGCCACCAGGACAGAACACCTCAGGCTGGGGGTCTAAACAACACACATTTACTGCTCATAGTTCTGGCGGCTGAGGCCCAAGGTCAAGTTGCTGGCAAATTCGGTTCCTGGCTGGCAAACGGCTGCCTTCTCATGACCTCACATGAAGTTCTGTTCTCTCTCCTCACAGGGCGCTAATCCCACCATGGGCCCCCCTCATGACCTCATCTAACCCTAATCACCTCCCAAAGGCCCCACCTCCGATTATGATCACATGGGGGTTAGGGCTTCGACATACAAATTTTGGGGGGACACAACTCAGTCCATAGCACCCTCCCTCCCTACCAGCTGGTCAGGCATGCCCCAGGGGTCACTCCCGCAGGCTGTCAGGCCAAGAGTCCCCTCATGAGGGTCCCCGCTGAGGATGTCAGTGGGCTGACAGAGTCTTTATCCAAACAGACACTATTGAGCAAGGGGGAAAGGGGCAGCTAATGATAAGTATGGTGGACAGCAGGAGTGACTGGGGGCGGCGGGTGCGGCTGTGTCTCCAGACCACGCGGGGAGGGCCTGCTGTCTGGCTGTGGACAGTGTGCTTGGCACACGGCCTCCTGCTGTCAGCTCCATGGGGTCCGCCTCGGCTTTGGAGGGCAGCCTCACCCATGGTGACACGGGAGGGGTGGCCTGCTCGGGAGACTGAGCCAGGCGGGGTGTAAACACCCAGCATTTCAGCCCCACGTGGGACACTGGACGCTCCAGAGCTCCCTGGCTGGGTGCCGGGGTGAGCTAGCAGCAAGTCAGACTTTCTCCTCCTTCCCTTATAAACAGCTTGCACCCCAAACTTGTTTCAGCGTCTGCCTCTGGAGAATCCAACGCGAGTCCAAGAAAAGTTGAGACCGTGGGGTTTGGAGCTGGTCACTCACTGCCCACTGGCAACGAGGACCTGTCTCCGGTGGCAGGGAGACGGTGGCCCCTGGCAAAGGTGGCAGTTCTGTCCCAACTAATTGCTAAATTTGCTCCGGTGTTGAGCTGGAAGGTGCCTGGGGAAGCGGATGTGCCGGCGGGCCCTGCACACTGTGAGTTTGAGATATAGGACAAAGAGGGCCTCCAAGGGTGCCGGAGCCCAGGTGGCCGGAGACCAGGTGTGAGAAGGCCTTGGGGCACTCGCAAAGAAGCTCTGGTGGAGAGAGCCAGGCCTGGGACCCACCGACTGAAGAGGTGGCTGGGCCCCAAGAGGAGGGACCCTTCCCCACAGCAAGTGCTCATGACAGAGACCCCCCCGGATGCCCCCCACCCCCAGTGTGACTACAGCTCTCTACTTGGTGGCTGTGCACCAGGAGAGGGAGAGGGATGTCCAGACATCTGAGAACCACTGGGCACACAGGTCTTGAGCTGACACCGACCCGGGAGTGTCCTCATGGGCCCTGTCAGGGTGGGACACGTGAGAGGCAGTTAATAATGGAGCTTTGCCAGGACCGGCTCACAGTGGGCCCACAGGGTCACTTCCTGATCTCCACGCATATAACGGGGATTGACACAAGAGGATGACCTACACCCTCACTGGGGTCAGAGATATCACAGTTGGGAAAGCCAAGTGGGAGACTGTAACTATCACCCCCACCCAGACAGCAAATGAAAAAATGGTACTGCGAGGGAGCTCAGAGATTAAGACCACTCTCAGGGCTCTGAGGATGCAGGCGTGGTGCTCCCATCACATCTCGATGTGATTCAGTGTGGCCCCAGGGGGTTCCTGGAGGACGACTGCATGCTGAGGGGCAGCTCCGGTCCAGATCACTGAGGCCGCAAGTACAGGTGTGCTGCCATGATGGAATAAGTCAGGAAAGATCAGAAACAGCTCACATGCGTGTGGAACGGATAAAAGGCACTGGCAGTTTTTTTCCAAGAACCTCTGTCACAATAGAGGATAAAGTGACCCAACTGGCTAGACGCCCCAGATTACGTCGACGACGTGGTGATGATTGAGTCGGAGGACCAAGAAGTGGCAGGAGACAAACCAGGCCAAGATTGGGGCCTGTTGCATCGGAAATGGTTAGGGGTCCAGGGGTCCAGGGGTCAGAGGCCTACAGGGACATCCCCTTCCAAGTCAAGAGCATATGACTGCATCTGGCACCTCCTACCAGAAAGAAGCACGAGGCCGCAGGGGTTTCTCCATACCTGGGAAGCCCATTTGGCGGGTGTACCAGACAATTGGAAGGCAGCCAGGGGAGGTGGGCCCAGCATGGGTGGGGGGGAGGCACCAATCTGCTTCTGGGCTGGCTCTCTCCTGCTCCTGTCCTGGGGCGTGCCTTGTGCGCCCACTCCTCCTCCTCAACTCTCTCAACTTTTCTGCTCGCCACCTGCCAGCTCCTCCTCCAAACCAGCACTGCCACCTCACAGGCCACCTGGTCCCCCTTCCAGAGGCTGTGGTCATCCATAGTCTCAGCAGCACCCACCCAGCAGGGCGGAGAGCCCTCCCGCTCCCTCACTGAGAGCTGATTCAGCCACCGGCTACTTGACAGAAGACATGTGCAGGCTGCTAAGTGCTCCCGCGTATTTACAAAGTTACATCCTAGAAACGTCTCAGGTAAATAGTTCTAAACAAGACTTCTTGAGGTATGCTCTTGCCTGCCCTAAGGCCTCTCTGTGGAGCCAGGAGAGACGAGGTGGAGGGTCTCTGGGAAGCTCTGTGGGACAAAGAGGCCCCACTGAGGTGTTCTTGCCCCTCCTGCAGCACCTGCTCGACTCCAGGGCTGCCTCTCCAGGACGGGGGCTCTTCACCCGGTCCCCCAGGCAGGTGCAGCTGCCCAGCTCAGGACCAGCCGCCACAGCACTGGCAGCACTGTGCAAGGATGTCGTGGGCCACCGGGGGTCCCCTCGGAGCCCCCATCACCCGAGCTGACACACAGGGCCATCCAGTTAGGTTTTCATCACCGCCATAAAGGAGGCCTGCGAGAGGAGAGACGGTGAGGTCTGAGCAGCGGCTGCCCTGGACGGTGGGGGGAAGGAAGGCCTGCCCTCCTCCTGCGCCCACCGGCACGGCCAGGGGCTGTGACCGCAGCCCCAGCTTCTCAGCCCCTTAGAAGCTCTGCTCAGTGGCTCTCATGGGAAGAGACAAAGCTGCCTCATGTCCCAGGGCACCAGGCAGCCCAAGACAGAGCAAGCTGGGCCGGCCCCTCCCCGGCCGCAAACATACCTCCTGGAGGAGCTGCCCCAGCATTTCCTGGCTGTGAATGGACTGCCTGTGGGAGAGAGCACCATGGTCAGCCCTCCTGGCCCTCCCTGCACACTCAGAGGGCAACCACATGCCCAGCCCATCACGCACTCTCCTCCCACAGGCGGACAGGCAAGGAAGAGTCCCAAGGCATGCGTGTCTGCCTGTGGTCTCTGCCAGGACAGGTAAGAACTGGGCACGGGGCAGGCAGGAGGGACTAAGATACTGAGGACCGCAGCCCCCTCCATGGCCCCAAGCCCCACCTGTCTATCCTGGTGGCTATGGTCACCGTGAAGTCCCCCTCTGTGTCTGGCAGGTAGGTGGAGGGCACAATCCTGTAGGTCCCAACAGACAGGTGGCAGAGCCGGCTCACTTCCTGGGCGTAGCAATGTGGCACACAGCTCAGCAGAGGCTCCTGGAGCAGCAGGGAGGGTGCACCCTGGCTCCCACCATCCACCGGAACCTGGGGGAGACCTGCGCTCAGACTTGGTAGGCCTGCCCATGGGGCAGGTTGAGTTTCCTGCGGCCGCCAAGGTATGCTCTTCTTCCTCAGCCTCAGGGCAAACTCCCTTTCCCAGGCCAGAAGCAGCCCCTGCTGGGGGGACGCCCCAGGTCATGAAGAGCCTGGTGCAATCTGCTTGGATCTTGTGGCCAGCCCCAGGCCCTCCCGTGTCACACACGCCCCCTTTTCCAAGGAGGAAGAACCAGGAAAGCTGGACTCGCCACTCACCGAGGCCCCACCACTGTTGCCAAGAGGCCCTGCTGGGGGCCAGGCAGCCCCGTCAGGTGCCCACGTCTGGGGGACCACCAGACTCACCAGTGCCCAGGGCCCCGTCCTGAGAGTCATCTGATGGGACCCGGCACTGGCAGGCAGCCTGGGGTAGGGCAAGGCCCCAGGGTGTGCCTTGAGCTCTCCAGGAGCTGAATGGCTCCGCCCGCCCAAGGGTACAGAACCTTCTCAATCAGAGAAAATCCTACGCTCCCCCTCAAATCACCTGTACTCCAGGCTAAGTGTGCCCACCCCCACGACAGATCCTGGGACACAGCTCCAGGTCATACTCCTGGCCCATGCCCTCCTCAGGGCACCTGCCAGTTCACCAAGCCTGTCTTGAAGTGGGGTCCCCAGAACCAGCACATCTGCATGTGGGCAGGGGAGCGGCATCATCTCCATGGGATCCAGGCCTGTGACCTCTGACCTCTAGCATGTCACCTCTCCCCGTTGTGCAACTACAGGTCTGCTAAGCGAGTCTGAGCATTGTGGGTAAGAAGGAGAGCAGAATGAAGGCAAGGAAGGCACTCTGGTGGCATTTCTGATGTACGGACCTTCCTTTGCATCTACACAACCTAGCAACCAGGGAGTGAGAGCGCCCCAGTCCCCACCGGCCACCTGGAGGCAGCACTCCGCTGCTGCCAGGTCCCCCGGACTCATACTCCGTTCTAGGCTAAAAGTAGGGATAACCGCCACACTCTGCAGCCCGAGTTCCTGGAAGCCACCTCTTCCCTTCCACCTGCCTGGGATTCAGGTCCTGCCTGCACTGCTGAGCCCACTGCGGCCTCACCTGCAGGTAAGGTGACCTTGGGGCTCCCTTACAGCCCCTTACCCATCTGGCTTTGTCTTTTCTTCCTGATCTGAAAATCCTCTGGGCAGCACCACTGGGCAGAATGTCTGTCTGTCAGGCCTCTGGATACCTTAGTGAGCAGGGGCTCTCCTCCCTCCCTCCTCTGCTCCTCCCCAGGAGCCCACACCATCCTTCCTCCTGGCTCACAGCCGGCACCCACTCCCGGAGCAGTGGCCTCAGCAGTATGGGGCACTGGGGAAGGGCGGGGTTCAGGTGGCTTTGGGGCAGCTCCTGGTGCACAACCACTCCATGGTGCATGCCATCAGGTCTCCTGGGTGGGAGGAGCGGTTCTGGGGAGAACTGACCTCGGGACACAGCTGTTTTGAGCCAAGGAGAGTGGACAAGGGGCTGCCTGAGGTGACCTGTGACCCCCAGTGAATTAGAGACTTTATGAAACCTAGAAATGAGTCTTGCACGTGATCAGCCAGCTTGGCCCACATGCCCAAACGACCGAGTCCGGGCTTCTGTGTCACACCCAGCCATCTGCCATAGACACAGATCCTCTGAGGGGCCCTTCCCTCACCCACCCCTCGCCCTGTCCTGCTTGGCCTGGCTCACAGTCCCACCGCCCCCAGGAACGTGAGGAGCTTGCCTGGAAGATGTGGAAGCCGATGGGGTGGTACTTGCTGTTCCGGCAGTGCTGGTGTAGAGTGATTCGGACACAGCGGGGGCCCGTGCCCTCAGAGACCGAGAAGGGGAAGCAGGGGTTGGTGGGGTAGGAGGCAAAGTTCCTGCTGCCCCCCGCCGTCTGGCCGATTCTCCATGAGCCCTGAAGTCGCACGGTCTCCCACTCCCCAGCGGGCAGGGCCTCCCCAGGGGCAGGGCTCTTTGCTGCCGGCTTGATGGCACTGACAGGAAAGACAAGCACAGGAGGGCGGCTGGCAGCATGTTCCGGGCCGCCTGGGTCACAGGCACAGATACACACCCTGAGGAAATGACCGGGCCCTGCTTGCCCCTCACCTGAGGGAGACTCTCCCGCTAGAGAAGACCCGGAGCAGGAACTGCCCTGGCACGTCCTTCAGGAAGGTGCTGGGGACAGCCAGGTAGTAGCCTGAGGAGAGCTCACAGCGCAGGTGGACCTCCCGGTCGTACGCATGGCACACGGTGCCAGCCACAGGTGGTGCAGACAGGACCCTGGGCAGGCTGACTCGTCGCTTCTCCACCTGCGGAGAGGAGGCTTGCAAGCGAGTGTAGCTGGGACCTGCCAGCCCCTGCTCCCAGCAGAAGGGCCTCTCCTCCAACAGTTACCAGGTGAAGGCAGCCAGGCCTGTGGTCCCTCCCTGCCTCGTAGGGCCTGGCTGGAAATGCCCACGAACCGGGGCGGTCACTTAGCCCTTGGGTCAGTGGCTCTGTCCCAGATGTGAGCCTGCAAGTCCTGCTGCTCTGGGGGAAAACAGACAAATCTAGACAGAGCTGTGCCCCAAAAGGCACCCGGCTATACAAGCTGGGGGCTGCAGGACAACAGGCTTGTGGCCACTTCTTCTGCAATAGGAAAGGAACATAACAGAGGCCACACCCACAAAGGGACAGGGAACAGTGTGACGCGGGTTGTGAGACCTCGTCAGGACATACAAGATTAAAGACCACCAGCTGGGCAAGCACACAGGCAGCACATCCCCGTGCCAGCCACGCCCCTGTTCCCTCAGGAGAGCAGGACAGGTGTCTAGGTGTCTGAATCGGTGCCACAGCCTGATCCTTGGACAATCCCCGGGGATCAGAACATTACCATCCCCATTTTGTAGGGAGGGGACTTGGGGAGGCAGGGAAGGGGAAGTGACCTCTTGAGGTCACATGGGAAGTGGCAGAGTTGGGCTCTGGCCCTGGGCTGGCTCTTCAGCAGTGGTCCTAAGACCCCTGCTCACAGAAAAGAGCACAGCCAAGAGCCCACAGGCCCCGGTCCCTCCTGCAGGCTGTCACCGGCTGTTTTTTTTTTGACCCTTTGGCCAGCAGACACACTCCGGGCAGGGCGGGAGGGAGCCGAGTCCTGTGGACTCAGATCACAGTTGGGTCTGTGGGAGCACCAGCAGGCGCCTGACTCCACGGGACAACCTGGGGAGGTGGGGGCACGTGGGGCTCTTGGCGGTGACGAGTGTCCCGGCACCACAGCTCCTGGGACTCAGACCTCCCAGGGCTTCCATGTCCCCATCCTCGCACCCCACTGAGCAGGAAGCCAGGCCTGGGGGGAGTTACCTTCCAGATATGCAGTCCCACAGCCTGGTAGTCCTTGCCTGGGAAGCTCTCTGGGCTCCACGAGGTACAGCCGGCCCCTGCCAGAGCCCGGGCCCGGCCTGCCCAGTCTGCCGTGTGCCTCCTGGGCCTCTGCAGGACAGCAACGTACACCTCACTCGGCTCTGAGACCCGCAGCCAGAACTTGGGGTTGCTGGGAAAGCCGCTGTTGTTCCGGCAGCCTCCTGCCGACTGCCCCTTGACCCAGGCCCCGGGCAGCTCCTGAGTGTGACACAGTACCTTCTCTAGGGCAAGAAATGCCACACGTCAGCTCGGGAACGGGCACCCACGGTGGCTCTTGGCCAGCCTCGCTAACACCAGCAACAGCCACAGAAAGCCAGAACCCTCCACAGGCCCTGTCTCCCACCACCTCAAGCTGCCTGGGACAGGAGGAGATGGGACAATCTCCCTGTACTGAAGAAGAGCAAAATGGGGCCTGGGGCAGGGCTGTGCCCAGGAGCTGCCACAGTGGGGGCCGACGCCTGCTCAGCCCTCTGACTCCAGAAGGCCAAGTCCAAGTCCACTAGAGCTGATGCCCCCCCACGAAAGCCTGCCCCAGGGAATGCCCCCTGCTCAGGGCCCGTTACCTGAGTAGAGGCTCTGCAGGTGGCCGGCCTCGGTGACGGGGTAGCCAACGGTGACTTCATCAAACTCCCGGAGGAACTCCTCCTCCTCCACCCAGAACTCCCCCTCCTGGAGCTGGGACAGCAGCTCGGCCTCATCTGCTGGGTCCACTCGGCTCCACCCTTCGCCCCTGAAAGGAAATTCACTTCAGCGGAGGCATCTCAGCTAAGAGCTGACAGCACTACCTGAGGAGTGGGGCGGGAGGGGACCTGACGGGGTTCCGAGAGCCCTGTGGCCCTGCCAGCCCCTTGATGGCCTGGCTCCACGGCCCCCTTCCCACGCTCACAGGGGCTCCATGACTGGACCATCCGCCTCCAGAGCCCCCCTTCTTCCCTCAGACGGGTGCCTCACCAGGGCTGAGCAGGAGAACGAAGGACGTTTGCCCTATCACCTCTGGTGGACTCGGGAGGAAGTGTCGGGTCACTAATCTGGGGCCCAGCTAAGGGGAGTTGTCTCAGCACCCTCGTTCAGTCCAGGTCCCCAGTGCCAGTGAGGGGTCGTAAAGTGGGGCTAAGCACCATGGCGCAGGCATCTCATAGGGCCCTGTCACCCACAGCCTGACTGGGTATCTACCATTCCGTGGGCACCCTCAAGAGAGGACCCCAGGCTCCAGGGCTGTCTGGGGCCAAACAGAGAACACGGCAGCCCACAAGCAGGCGCCAGGTGGGCTTTGCTGGAGACCAACCAAGCACTGTCCTGACCACCAGAAATGACCATGGCACAAGCAGGCACACACGGTAGCAATGGCTCCTGGCTGCCACTCAAGGCTTCACACCCTTTCCCCACCAACGGTGGCGTGGTGCTGATCCACAGTACAGCCTTTGCCCGTACTCACCCCTCTCTCCAGGGCCCCTGCCAGCACCGCCGGCCCCAGGGGTTCTGGATCCGCAGCAGCAGGACACTCTGACCGGCCCGACCCTGGAGTTCTCGCAGATCCGAGACAATGAAGGCATGAAACTCCCCCAGCTCCCTGGCACCTGGGCGAAGAACAGCTGTCACGGGCAAGGAGTCCCCAAGCTGAGCAGACAGAGAGGTCAGTCTCCTTCCCCAGGAGATGCTCCAGCCCACCTGACTGTGGCCGCACAGGCACCCGACCCCACGGACCACCAGCAGCTCCTTTCCCAACTGCTCTGGGCAAGTCTGCTCACGAGTGGCCTTCGTCAGTGTAGAGCCATAGCAAAGGACGTGGGTCTTGACTGGCTCAGTTGCCACCAGGCCTGGCAAGTCATTCCCACCTCTGGGCCTCGGTCCTTACCTGGAAGGACGAGGGAGGATGGCCGGCCCACATGGCAGCATAGGAGGCCTGGAGCAGGGCCGGTCCTCACATGTGCTGCTACAGCACTGTCACTGACGGGTCAGTGACCACCAAGAACAAGGGAAACCTCCTTTGGCAAGGCCGGTGGGGGAGGCAGACGGTTGGGCAGTGTCTGACCAGACCCCAATGGGAGGACTGGAGGCCCAGAGGGGAAATCACTACACGTGGCCAGAGACCTTGGCACAAACAGACACAGATAGAGACTGGCACCCCACCTGGGGAGGAGGGACAGGGGTCCAGAGAGGAGAAAAGATCTCTGGGAATGTCTTGAAGAGCTTTATTTAGGACAGCCTTGTAGCTCCACTCCTGCCCGGCCACTCCAGGGGCTCCAGGGGCCCACCAGCAGCCCAGCTCTTTCTCTGAGGGTTTCTCCAAAGCCTGAAGTGCCAAGAATTCGCCCGGCCCCACCCTGGGGGCAGCTGATGTGAAATAGGCCAGCCCCTCACCTCTGGGGAGGCTCTGAGGCCGCATGGCTCTCTGTGGGCTCCCCTCACCCCCCAAATGTGCCGTGAACCCTGTCCCAGGGTCTGCCTGTGGGGAACCCAGAGCAGGCCCGTGCCAACTTTCACACACGTGCTGGGGCAGCGTAACTGTCAACATGTGTCAGTTTATTTCAATGTTCATATTCTTGGACCAAAAATCCCATTATGAAAATAATCCTAAAAATGAAAACTATTATGCATAAAGATGTTCACTGTGATGTTATTTATAATAGCATCAAATTGGAAAACCCTTAAACATCCAACATTAAGGGAAGGATTAAGAAAACTATGGCAGACCTACTAATGAAATAAGATGTTGACAAAGTTTGGGTAACAACATAGAAAATGGTCTATAATAGAAAATGTAAAACATACATGTGTTCATGAAAAAACACTGAGAAAGTGCACTAAAAAGTCAAGTGGTTATGTTTGAATGTTTTTTTTCTTTCAACAACCTTTCTTTAACAAGCGTATCTATTACTAAAATGAAAACCTGATTGTTGATTTTGCCAGGTGACCAGCCAGGCCAGAGATGGTGCCACCTCCCACCTCCTAGACCGTCTCCACATGGCAGTTACCACAACACAGGCTCCTGTCTTGCTCGAGTGGCAAGTCCTGGTCAAAGGAAAAAGGGACACTTTCCTCTGGAGAAGCAGGGACCGCAGGGGAAGGTCACACACCCAGACACCAGCTCTGAAGGACAAATGCCCTGCTCTCTACAATAAAAGTTCCTGTGTGCCTACAGGAGGCCTCGAGGGCGCAGGTGTGCAGGCCCCCACACCGCCTCCCGCCTTACCTGCTCTAGGGCTGAGCACGGAGCAGCTTATCAGACACCGGTCCTTCAGGCTGAGCAGCTGCCGACAAGTCCTGTGTTCTGATCCCCCAGGCCTGTCCTGTTGGTCACTGGTTCTTGCCAAATCCTTCAGGTTCCACCTTTCTGCCAGGCCACCAGTTAGGTCCACCAGGGCATCCGCCACCTGCCCTGCCCACAGGTGCTCATAGGACCCATAGACCCTAGGGAGACAACCACAAGCGAGTGAACTCTGGCATTGGGGCGTGGCTCCCTGCCTCTTTTCTATCCCCATGGTCTATGACACCCCAAAATCATCTTCTCACCCACCGCTTCGATCGCTTCTCTTTACTCCCCTCTCTTTACCTCCCACCGAGTCCAGACACACTCCTGCCTTCATTTGCTCTAATGCACAGGGTCCCGGCAGCACCCTGCTGCCTCCACCCACATGCAGAACCTCTCCTGCCTCCAGGGGCCACACAAGCGTGAGGGGTATGGGGCACAGAGGCTGTGAACTCCTCTATCTCTCAGGAGCAAACCCCACAGCCCGACCGGCCATCAGATGCAGGGACTCACTCACACAGACCTCACCAGCAGGCTCTCCTCACTTCCTCTGCGCAAAGGCCTGCCTATCAGTGCAGCCTTTTTTGGCAAGACGATCAATGTACTCTAAGAGGGGAGTTCTTCAATTCAGATCTGGGGAGGGCCACGGTCAGCCAGGACCAAGGGAAACAGTACTGACACCTAGGTGGCCTCACTGCTCCCCAACGACTTGCAAAGAGGCCACCTGTCCCTAACGGTAAAAAGAAATAGATGGAAACATCTTTCCTGCTGGGCTTTGAGGAAGGAGAAAGGAGAATCCTCTTTCTGGAAGTGAGAGCTTCATGCCTGACCTTGAAATGAGGGCAGGGAAGAGGGAGTGGGCACAGCCAAGTCTCAGTTTCTGTCTCTGGACAGTCAAGCCCACCCCAGGACTGGCCGCCTGACCCTAGAACCAACAAGGGCGCTGAAGCCCAGGGAGAGTGGAGATGTGCTTCTTGGGGGCAGCAAAGCACGGCCGTGGCCCCCAGCCCAGCCCGGCCCCTCCAGACTCTAGCGTGCGTACTTGGCATAGACCTTCTCCAGCAAGGGAAGCCAGAACACATCCTCTCTCTGGCACCGGGAGAAGCAGAGTCTCCCTGCAAGACAAGGCAGACGGTCATCTATGGTCACCTCCACCCAGCGTCCAAACTGCCAAATTCGACAGGTGAAGGAGCCACGGTACGTCTGGTCGAGCCAGCCCGGCTGTCCTGGAGGAATGACCTACCGCGCACGGGGAAAGGCAAAAGGAGACCATGAGAGACAAACATCGTGCGGTGCTTCCCAAGCGTCCTAACCAGAGCGTGACGGTGGCCGAGCCATTCCTCTGCACCCTGCAGTTCCGCAAAGGAGTGTACCTTACTGCACACCTAGATGTCCGTGCTCACGGAAAACCCGATCACTGGACAGAAAAGCAACAGACCTTTCAATAAATACTGTAGGACCACACTGAGGGAGCCAAGTGTCTCCAAAAGCTTAAAGTCAACCACTATGTCCTAATGTCCCAAATAAGCACTTGACCTGAATCTAAAGCCAACGGGACTTCTACAGGCACGAGTGACCCAATTCTTGACAGAGCTGGCTGCCTCCGGAGCTCTGCCAGCGCCTGGAGCCAATGTGCTCACTGCTGGGTCTGCTGTTCTGACCCAACGTGGAGGGACGGTGCGGGCTTTCCACCTAGACGGACTCGTTTGGTCCTGGATCTGCCACTCACTAGCTGGAAACACGACGACAATCGTTTTAGTGCCCTCATTTGTAAAAAAGGGTCAAAGTTGGCAAGGCCTGTGAGGATGAAAGCCAGAGACTGCGATGTTCTGAGCTGGGGGCCTGGGGACACAGGAGGAGCTCTGAACGGGGTCAGCACTGTCAGTGTTGTTGCATTAGTCAGTAACACCTAGCAACAAGTCAAACAGAAAGCCGTGAACGCTCCTGGGGAAGGAATCTGAGCAGGCCTTCTATGCCTGTGGCAACTGCCTAGCATCAGAAACAGTTTTAATCACGTTTCACCAATTTATATTCAAAATCTGTAAAAAAAAAATCAACTAGCTAAGGAAACTTATTCCAAAGCAGGGGCCTAGGATCCCTCAGCAGACCCTTCCTAGTCTAGGCTGGCACGTTTGTCTTTGTATTTCAAATGCATGCCTCTGACTACAGGGGAACCCAGGGCTCAGGAGACAGCAGAGCAGGGCAGGAAGCACCCCCAGTGGACCCCTGCAGGAGAGGGGGCACTGCATCTGTGCCTCAGAGTGCCTACAGCCTAACAGCCCAGCTCTCTCTCTCCACTAACCACTCTGGGCAGCTGAGGCTGAGTCCCACAGAACGAGAGGTTCAGCTGCCTGGCCGCCCGCTTCCTTCCTGTGTTCGGAAGACAGGAAGACAAGAGCAGAAGAGAAATCTGCAGTGTCACAGACACCTGGTCCAGGAGGTGGCGGCTCTTCTGCAGGGCAGCGCAGGCGCACAGGAACCAGCAGTCCCCCAGCAGGCCTTGCTTCACCTGTCCTTCCTGTGGGTTATCTGGAAACAGCCGGGGCGTGGCACAAATTTCCTGAAATTATGAAAATAGTACAGAGTTACATCATGCTTGATGACTAGTCTTTAAAAGTAAGAACACAGGATTTAGGTGACAGTCGCTGGGGAGGAGATTTCTGGTCATCCACACTGCCTAGGAAGGGAGGAGAAGCAGCTGGTTTCTTGCAGCCACTATCCGTCAGCCCCTCCCGGCTCTGGATCACTCTGTCCAGCTTAGATTCTGGGGTCCCTGCCTCTGTCCACTTTCCTTAATTGGTAAAACCCCTAACTCTGGATGAATCCTACCATCCCTCTTCTCGAAACTGCTAAATGTTGGTCTAGAAAATGGTTTCTCTTTAAAATTCAAAATGGCAAATCTCAAATGGGTCCTCTGTACTACTGGAAATCCTACTGTTTCTCTAAAAGGCTCAATTTCCCTTACTCCAGACTAGTTTATACATTCCCCTTTCTTCCTCTCTTCTCAAAACTTCCACGCCTCCCTTGCCCACACACCTCTGAGCTGAAGACTTCGCCTGATGCCTCATCAGAAGCCACCTGACCTGACCCCCTCTCCTGCCTTCAGAGTCTGGATTCCTCCCAGGACCCCCTCCATCTCCCACCTCCACAGGCAGAATCCCATCCGCATAAGGCATGAGAGAGAATCTCCCATCTTCTCTAAGATATTGTCCCTCGGCACAAGATTTCCCCTCTCGACTTCCTTTCACTGACAAATTTCTTGAAAGATCTGCCTCCCCATGTCCTTCCTCCAGCTCACTTTCAACATGGGCCCCTCTAGCTTCTGAGCCAATCATGCCCCCAACATCACTTTTACCAATGATACTTCTGTGCTGTCAAATCCCACGGGCATGTCTCTATCCTTGTCCTTCCCAACACTAGGCAACATCAGAAGAATGACTGTCCCCTGTCCCCAGCAGTCCTCTCTTGGCTTCCATGATTCTATGTGCCCCTGGCTATCCTTTCACTTCACTGCCTTCTGCTTCTCAAGTCTACCTGCCAGGGCACCTGTTCGAGCCCACTCAGATCCAAGCCCTCTCTTCTTCTCTACGCATACTTCCTCCCGGGTTCCTCTTCCATGCCCTGGACTGTAAGCCATCCACTACGCTCCCAATTCCCAGATCAAGCCTCTAGCCCAGATCTTCCTGAGCTCCCAACTCTCATATCCACCTGCCCACCGACAGCTCTGAGCAACACCCAACCCTAGATTCCCATCCCTAGCTCTCCCCACCTCCCAGTTTTCCCCAACACATCAAACCACCTAGTTGCTCAGGCTGGAAATCTAGGAGTCATTCTTGATCCCTCCTTTATCCTCATCCTCTACTTCCAATTGGTCGCTAAGACCTATCAATCCCCCCGCCAAAGTATTCCTCACCTCCATCCACTCCAGGGACCCATCCTAACCCTTGTCACACTAACTTGAGCCCCTTCATCTTTCTCCAGGACCACCGCAATGGCCACTTGCATTCTTGCCCCGAAAATCCATTTCCAACTGGCAGTAAGAGTGAGCTTCTTAAACACAAATCCAATTAAATCACTCCTCTACCAAAAACCCTCTCATGGCCTCTCATTGCACCTAAAATCCAGTTTTTACCAAATTCCACTGGCTCCTCATACTTTGCCCGTGTCAAACAGGCCCTCTCAGTGTGTCCCAAAGAGAGCATCTCACTCGCCAGAACCAAGCAGTTCTGGCTCTGTTCAAGGGCTGGTGGCCGTGCAGACATCTCCACTAAGACTGCGTACACTCAGAGAGGGCAGGCTTGTTCCTTGGGCAGTCTTATTCAGTAGATACACCATTTCTAAAGATATCAACATGGCACTAGGCCAGAGCATCCCTTTAAGCTGCCACCTTAAAGTGCTTACATCTGAAAATACAGGTGCACAAAGCCCGGAACGGAAATTTGCAGAGCACAACGGCTTTGCCTCGTAGGCTCAGCCTGGCCCTTCCAGAAGAACGTGAGAGGACCTCACTGCCCGTGAGCAGTAGACACAAGCAAACACAAAAAACGGAACATGGTGGACCGCTCGTGGACAGAAAAGCCATGCAGACTAGAAGCCAAGTCTGATTACACGCCCTTAGAGCAGAGGAAAGGAAGTGGGGCTGGTGTGTGTCTGTTCAAATGCCCCCCTTGCTCTGCCTCGACTCTCCTGAATGGAGCTCTCACAGGTGGGGGCCACGAGCTCGGGGTCCAGCACATCCTGAGTGGGCTTGAGAGGGAGCTACAACTAGGGTTGGGAGCCTGGGACCCACTCCTGAGGACGGCGGCAGCAGACCCTGCTGACCAAATGCCCAGTCCCGGCTGACCCGGCCCCCCTCCCGCCGCTCTGGCTCGGTCCCCGCGCTCGCACCCGGGCAGGAAGCAGCGTCTAAAGACCCGGCTCGCGCCCCACCTGGGGACGCCTCCAAGTGATGTCCTCCCGGAACTGGGCCAGCGGCGTGGAGAAGCTGGAGAACAGCGAGGAGTCCGAGGCGGGGAAAGAGGCGTCCCGGAAGAGCTCCCTGGCCGGCGCCCGCATCTTGAGCGCCCGGGGCTCCCATGCAGCCCGCGCCCCGGCGCCGAGCGCGGCCGAGGGGCGCGCAGCCCGGAGGGAGGGCAGGTGGGCCCGCGTCCCTGGCCTGCCCGACGCTCCCCCGCCCGGCCGGGCCCTCTAGCCTCACGGTACTGGCAGTAAAGACCCGGCCCGCGCGCCGCCAGCTCTGTCGCCCCGGTAACCGCCGGGGGAGGGTCCCAGGCTGCAGCCAACCAGACGCGGTGATCCGAGTCACGTGACAGAACGGCCCAATCGCACACGAGGGTTGGGAAGTCGGGCCGGATTCCCCGCCCCAAGGGGCGTGGCTCCCGAGCTCTGCTATCGCGAGGCAGTGCCGTCGACCCGGCTGCAACTCTGCTTCCGAACCGAGGCTCATACTGGAAGGTCGCTGGCGTCTTGTCCTCGGGCCGAGGTGCCTCGGGCCAGGGCGTCGGGTCGCTTGGACTCGCGGGCTTTTGGGGTTGAAGGAACTGACAGGCCGCCTCTGCCGAGGTCGGGTTGCGGACTACAAGTTTCAACATGCAGCGCTGCCTCCCAGCATGCGCCTCTCCTTCCGGCGCGCGGCAAGCCCGGCCGCCTGGTGTGGGAGGAGCCAATGGGAGTTGCTTGGGAAGGGGCGTCGTGAGCCTTCCGGAGCCAGCATGGTATTCGGGCGGTTGTGGTAGTGTCCTGGGTCCTGGGGGAGGAGACGGCCGGGGGAGGGCTTTCCCGGGCCTGGGAGCTATCTCCAGGCTGTCTGGTATCGGACGTGCTGGGTCCTGAGCGGGGCGTGGGATGACGCTGCGGCATCCTCCTGGTCCCCAGGTGGCCGGGCATCTGGTCCTGGTAGGCTGGACCCTGCCCTGCTGGACGTGCGGTTATAGCTCGTGGCCGCTCAGTGCCGCGGCTCGGTGAGGACAGTGGTTTCGGGACCTGCTCAAGAATTCACTCTTGCTCCAGGACATGTCCTTCCCCATTCCCATTCCCAGGAAGGAAGGCGGCCAGCCAGAGGCTTGTTCTCTGCCTGCCCCTCCACGCCTGCTTCACTGTGGTCAGGCAGGGGAGGAGAACGGGGCCCCAACCCTTCTAGGACAGCTTTCTGCCATCTATTAGGGCTTCTCAGGTTTTGCATCCCTGGGCTGCTTCTACCCAGCCTCCAGATATGAAGGGCAGTCAGATCCAAAAAGTCCCGCCTGCTGGAAGGGAAACTGAGTCTGATCCAAGAGCCCTGCCCCTGACATTCTGCTTGCTCAGGAGCCAGGTTTCTGTGACAGCTTCATCTACTCCCTCTGAGAGACCGGGCAGGGTCTGCATGAGTAACGGCTGCTAGTAGTGGCATTATCTTGTGCTATCTTGACCCCACCAGGCCTCAGCCCCCTAGTTTGGGTGCTCATGTCTGCTGAGATCCTAGAAGAGGGAGTAACCAACATAGCCCAATTCCTGTCTCTGGGATGCCAGGGCTGACGTGGTGACCATTCAGCACCCCCATGGTGCTAGCTCTGCCGGAAGATGTTTCTGACTCCTCGGCACACTGGAGGCTGCACTGCAGCTGAAAGGAATCAGGAAGGGCCTGGGCTCTGCTTCACACAGGGTCCTGAAGGAGTAAGAGACAAATGTCTTCCCTGCCCTGGGGTGCTGGACAACTGGTCTGCCCCAGGTAACACATATGGGTTAGCAGCGGGGCTGGGGCCTGCCCAGGAGCTGGACTCTAAGTGGGGGCCTTTGCTGTCCCACCCACCCAGGCTTGCAAGCTCTGGAAAGCAGGCAGCTTCCTGTGGACACTTCAGTGTCCAGGGTTGGGCCCATGCCCAGAGAAGGGGCCAGGAGAAGCTGGTGCTGGGTAGGCAGCAGCCCAGGCCTGCAGGGATGTGCTCACCAACACTGAGATGGCATTAGAGCAGCTCTCCTGTTCGCCTGCCTGGCATAGCTCCTCCTGTGCCACCCCTACCCCATATGCCCTGTGGTCCCATCCCCCACTCTGGGGGTGCAGAGATGCTCCCTCAGCCAATTAGGAGTACAGACCCCTCTCCCTCCTGGGCCTGCCCCCAGCCCAGCACAGAGTGGGGCCTCTGGCTCCTGGGGTGCCAGGAGGAGTTGGAAGCAGCCTAGGGTGGTGGGACAGGAAGGTATTCTGGAGGCAGCTGGTTCATGACCCCAGCCTCCGTAGCTGCAGGCCCCGGGACTGAGGCAGTTACTGGAAGTCTGAGTCTCAGGACCTGCCTGTAAGGAGGGAACACCACCTCCCGTCACAGTGCTGTTTGAGGGTTACGGGAGGATGAAGGCCAGCTTTCTCCTAGCCCTCAGGCAGGAGTGGTCTACCCACTGACCCCACTGCAGCCGATCATTGGACTATATACAACACATACCTACCTGCTTCCTTTCCCAAGCCTGTGAGTGCTCCAGGCCCTGTGGAATCTGAACTCTGCCTGTCCTCCCTCCACCCCAATCATTTGTGCCCCCCGCGCCTCAGTTATCACCGCTCTGGAGTCCTTGTGCTCCATGGCTTTGCTCACGCTTGTTCTGCCTGGATGATGCCTTTGTTTTTCCAGGGATGTTCCCTGACTTCCCAGCCAGGTGGGCTCTGTTCTGAACCCCCACATCTCTCCTCCGTTTGTTGAGTGGGCAGTAACCAGGCACTTCTCTGTGCCAAGCACTGCTTTCTTATGGGGATGCAGAGATTGGAAACCAGTGTCCTGCCCACAAACCACCCAGAATTAGGTGGAGGTGGGGAGGGGAGAGCTGAGGCGCCCCAGGTGAAGGGACAGCGGCACTAGCTGGTAGAGAAAGAAGGAGGTGTACTGGGCGAGGGCTCACCCTGGGTTCGCAGACTGCCACATTCCCTAGGATCCCCACACAGCCGCTCCTGCCTCCCTCACGAGATCCCTGGTTTTGATTCTGTTTATTTGCTGCAGCTGAAGTCATCTGGGGAGTCTGGACTTCTCCTAGCTCCAAAGTCAGAAGTTTTAGAAAGGGATATGTGCCCCAGTTCCAGGCAATGGGGCACAAGAAGCAGTCGGCTGAGGTCCACTGGGGAACTTTCCCCCTATCCACAAAAAGCAGGAGGCTGGGGGGTTCTCTTGCAGCCAGCCTTTGGAGGTCAGCATGTGGGCATGTGGACCAGCAACTGCTGCAGTAAGCTTGTGATCACAAGGGGACAAACCAGAGGACAAAGGCCAATATGCCGAGAATCCAGAGCAGAAAGAGAAAGAGCCTGGGTCTCTGGTGATGTTGCAGAGCCCCTGAATTGGTCGGTCTTAGAGTCGCCCACCTTGGGACTGACTGGTCATAGGAGATAAGAGATGCAGTTTTAGTAATTTTGAGTTGGGTCTTTTGCTTCAGTATTACAGACATAATGCAGAGACCCAGTATTGATTACCTACTACTGTGTAAGAAATTGCCCCAAAACTTAGCAACTTAAAAAGACAGGTATTTATGATGTCACATCTTGTGTTGTAACAGCTAGATCTTAGGTTGGCATGAGGGAAGCCATCTTAGGGAAAGGAAGCAATGCTGTAACTGTGACCCTGACTCACTAGTCTCTGAGAATACATTCTAGCCTGCACGTAGCCTAGATGATTAAGCACCTCTCACTTTTGCAAAATACATGATCTGCTAGTTCTGTCACTCTTGCTTAGTTATCAGCTGTGATAAGGATAATTTTGTTCTCTGAGTTCCCCAGGAACATGATGACCTCCAGAAAGAAAAACTCTGTTGTTACCCGTCACAAATGATAATTAGGTGCCTTGAAGTTCATCACACCAGATGATCCACATCCCTAAACCCCTCTTTCCCTGCCCATTTCCCCTATATAACTGCCTCAAGGTTCTGTATGACTTTAAGATGGTTCTTCAGGACACTAGTCCGCCATCTTCCAATTATGCTAGCTAATCATATAAATTTTCCTTTCTCAACCACCGACTGTGCAGTTTGATGGACACTGGATTTCGGCGGGCAGAACAAGCCCCTTTTTGCTCGGTTACACTGGGTCAGGAATGTGGCAGCGATGCAGGTGGGTGGTTCTGGCTCAGAGTCTTCTGGGAGATTGCCGTCAAAATGTCGGTCAGCAGGCTGGCTAGGCCTGGAAGACCCACTTCTAAGCTCCCAGGAGGCCCCAATTTCTTGTGGGGTGGACCTCCATGAAGCTACTTGAGTGTCCTCACAATGTGGCAGGGGGTGATCCAAGAGAAAGGGAGCATGGAAGCTGCAGTGTGTTCTATGACCCACCTGGGGTGTCACCTCCATTGTTTCTGCAACATACCATTTATTGCAAGTGAGTCACTAAGTCCAGCCCACACTTAAGGGGAGAGGTGTTAATCTCCACCTTTTGGGTGGAGGAGTATCAAAGAATTTGTGGAGGTATTTTAGGACCCCCTCGGGCCCTGAGAGGTGAGATGAGAGAGACCTGTACAGGAAAGTAACAGCTTGGGAGCCCAGGAGCGTGGTGAGGGTGTGGCAGTACCCTCCAGGGAGGGCCCAGCCCAGGGCTCTGACCTGGTCAGAGGTGACAAACCACCTGGGGCTTTAAGAGAGTGGAGGCAGACGGCACATTTGCACTGTAAAAGATCATTCAGAGGGCTGGCCCCGTGGCTATCGATTGGGTTCGGATCCTGGGTGGCTATCGATTGGGTTTGGATCCTGGGCGTGCACCCACGCACCGCTTGTCAGGCCATGCTGCAGCGGCATCGCATATAAAGTGGAGGAAGATGGGCACGGATGTTAGCCCAGGGCCAGTCTTCCTCAGCAAAAAGAGGAGGATTAGCATGGATGTTAGCTTAGGGCTGATCTTCCTCACAAAAAAATAAAAATAAAAAAAATAAAAGATTATTCACTATGCTGTGGGCTCAGAAGTAGGTCTTTGAGGCTGGGGTGGGAGGGAACCAGATTTTGAACCAGCAGTGGAGAACGATCTAGTTTCTTAGAAGGCGCTTGGTGACTAGTCATGTGAGTCACAAAGAAGGAGGGTGCCACAGGACAGTGGCACCAAGTGAGACAGCCTGGGGGCCCTGTGGAATTGGAAGAACTGGCTTTAGACTCAGGCGGTCTAGGAAGCTTGTGGGACTCATAGTGAGAAAATAGACTTTGTTCAGGAAAAGGCCTGGATGCCGACTGGGGTTAGGCACGTTCTCAGTTACACTGACAAGTCTGAAATGCAGAGCAGTTTCAGGCCTGTC